ACCAGTGATAAGTCGAACGTCAATTGTGACTTGGTGATCTTTTAGTCAAGCTAACTGCAGTTTACCTTATTTAACACTTTTTTTAAGAGCTATTTCAGTTTGTCGAATCAGAAGAGTCCGCACATGCGAATGGTGTATTTTGTAGATGCGCCTCTGTTCTGTAAAAAATTCTTTAATCGAGTCATGTCTTATGTACCTTTAAAACTATAACGGTATGGAAAATTTGCAAGTCTAGATTTTTAGAAATTTTAGTATTTTTAGCAAAAGATAATTTGTGGCTGCATTTTTACTGGAATGTGCATATCGATTTAATCTCATTCAGCCAAACGTTTACCGCTGCCTAATCTCAGGAATTGCTGAATCGAGTTATTTATCCCTGCTGGTTTGAGGGGTCACGATTAAATGGAAAATATGAAATAATATCTACTTATCGTTTCATTTGATTTCTTTTGTTTGTGTTAAATCTTGAGAACTGAATTCGTTTACTCTAGTTTCATTTATATATGACGTACTATGCGCATATTTTTTTATGAAATCATTGCTTAGGCTACAGTGAAATGAAAATGTTGTTAAAATTGGTGTAAGTAGACGTACAAAGATGCAGGAAAAGAGTGCAGCCAAGGATCGAAAGATCATGCGCGTGCAATGACTGACTGCACGTGTCTTTTTTACGTGGCTAAGGGGACCGCGTCATCAAGAGCAGAATATGATGTAAACGAGAGTCAAAACAGCTCAACATAACTGCCATGTCGATCATGTGCTGGTTTAGGAAGAAAAAACCAAAGTAGTACACGGAAAAATGAGCAGCGAGGAGTTACAAGTAGGGACTCTGGACAAGAAATCAGGTTAGATTCCAAACTGAGGGTGAGGTGAATGTTTCTTTTCGCTATTTGCATCTCGTTTTAGGATAACGGATGACTTTGCATATTCAATTTTTGTTTGCAGCGTTTTGGCGTGGAAATTTGAAATCGCCGGATATCTTAGTTAATTTTATGCATGGGAAGTCTAGGATTATAACTTTGCTATCAGTTTGCAATTAGCATTGTCGTCTTTGATCGTTTGTTAAGTTAAAAACAAAACAAAACATAACAAAACAAAGCAAAAAGTCACATTTA